TTAGCAATCGGGCTTCAAAGTCGGGCTTAAAATCTCTACATAATCGGGCTAGTAAAATCCTATGCTTGGGCTAGAATATAAAATATTGCTAGGGTCGAGAATTTAATTCGACTAAATTTAAAAATGTTTCGATTTAAAGTAGTTGGGCCCGGTAATTAAAATAATTAGGCTGTTTTGTCGAAATAAAAATAGCCCACTTAAAATGATCTCGGAAATTGGGCTCGATATTAAAATTATCGCTTGGGCTTGAAAATTAATTCGACTATGAATTAAAATAGCCGACCAATAAATTTGATCCGCTCAAAATCCATTAGCCTCGAATAATTAAATTATTCGGCTTCGTTTTGCTTAAATAAAATTCCGATTAAATCCAAGGCTCGGTTTTAAAATATAACCGATACTTGGGCTAGATAAATCTGACTTTAATAATAAAAATCGAATAAATTCTCCATGACTTAGACTTTGATACTAATTATTTAATTTAATGCAATTAATGATAATAAATGCATCAAATTTGGAAACTTAATATTTATGGAAATATAGTCGAGCTCCATAAATAGTAACTAAGATTCTGGGCGTTACAATTCTAACCTAGTTAATCGACTTTTGGAACCAAAATGGGAGAAGTCAGTAGATTTAAGCTCGTTTAGAATAGACTTGTTCGTAAATGTATTGCCAATGTGTTAGTTGATTTGATAGTTGATCGTTCACGTTTGTTCTCTTGTTACGAAGAGTTATTTAGAATGAACCTCTAGACGAGCAAGATTTTCAAGTCTTTTAACCGAGCAGTTGATTGCCCGGTAATTGTATTGAGAACCGAAAGAGATTGTCTCCGACTCCTTAACTCGTTTATTATTAATTGAAGTTGTTGAAAATTGAATATTCATCTTGCATTGTTTGAGAATCATTCGTAGTTAGCAAAAATCAAACCAATCTGATTAGAGTGTGATTATTTTATTTTTCTGTGACTGAATATACGTGCAATTTAATCCGGCTAACCTTCCTTGAGACACGACCCGGGGATTGAATCTTTTGATTTAACTCCGGTAAAAATACTTACAACATACCGCTTGGACTAAAAATTAAAATCAGGCTCGAAATAAAATATGGGACGACTAATTAAAATGCTACTCGATAATTAAAATCGATCAGGACTTATACTAAATAAATTAGTCGGTCAAATTTACTAAAATAATTAGGTCAAGATTTAAAAATCGACATAGGCTCGATTTTTAAAATGGACTAAATTAAATCGAACATGGACTCAATTAATAAAATGGGCCAGAATAGATAAGTGAGCCTATTAAAATAAAATGGGCCGCATAAAATGAACTCGCTCGATTATTGGGCTCGGACCCAACTTAATGAAATTTCTGATTATTCCAAGTCTCGGTTTTACATCTTTAATATAAAACCGATACTTAGCTAAATAAATCCAATTTTAATAATTAAAAATCGAATAAATTCTTCATGACTAATACCTAATAATGATCACTCGATTTAATGCAAATAATAGTAATTAAATGCATCAAACTAGGAAACTTAATATTTATAAAAATAAAGTCGATCTCCATAAATAGTAAATATATTCTAGGCGTTACACTACAGGTCTAGATGCCCTAGGGTGGCTAACTAGAATAGCATGTCTCATCACCAACCATCACTGAACAAGTGGCAATATTATATGATTTCCAGACTCTCTCGGCATGAATGTTGGGATGGCAATCGCCGGTCGTCCAATGACGACTGTACTCCGGCGAAGGAGGTCCTCACGCCTCCCGCGACCATCCCGAGGGCGTCTGGTAAGTCGGAGGTTGGTTGCGCGGCCCCAAAACGGTGGTATTCCGCCGAGCAGTGTTGCGTAGAAGTAGATCCTCACGCGACTGACGTGAAGCTTTGGGCTGTGGCTGACGGCGGACGTCTCCAGTGGCCATTGATCTAGCGATGGACGGCAGAAGTGGTGTTGCTTGTGGCAGCCATCTCTGTAGCGGACGACGAATGGTAGCGACGGGTGCCAGAGCCGGCCTTGACGAATCTTCAGGTCGGATCTTCACCTGGACTTGAACCATTTTCATCTTCTGGTTTTCAAGATCTTCATTTCTCGGCACGACATTGGTACGAGATCGACGTCGTCCCCTTGAACGACACAAGTGTCGTTCTTAGAAGATGTTTCGCGCATTATTCTTATTATCTTTCTTTCTCTTCGAGCTCGACATCCATGTAACCCCGGTGTCGAGCCGGCTTTACGGGCCGTCGTCGTTGTGATTAATGTTTCAATCGTTGGTCCCCCATGGCTCAACTCGGGTATCAACAATTTAATCAATTCAAGCCTAATTATTATTTTATAATAAATACTAATTTATATCCAAGTCTAACTATGAAACATAGTTTTTTGCTACATAGGATTTTGAAACGTGCGAGTCTGCCATTTAAACTCAACGCATACGACAATTATATTTAAGGGGGAGGGGAGGAAGGAGGACAAAATTTGTCTGTGATCTCAAAAGATATACATACCAATATATGTGTATACCCTGAGAAAATATGTACAAAATCACCAAATCACTATTATGTTTATTCAACTGCTTACTTAATATATTCGTGCAGTACAACATTTGATTTTTATATGATCTTTTAGTCCAACATTTAATTTTAAAAGATAACCGTAATACCTTTTTTTAGTCCAACATTTAATTTTAAAAAATAACTTTAATATTACTTTTTTCGTACAATGGAATATGCATTATATAAGCTACCTTAAATGAATACCAAACTCAGTCTAATAGCATGTTTGTATACTAACAATTTCACTCAACATTTTATTCAATTCAAATTTAACCCAACTCCTATATTTTCAATCTTATCAATATACATAAACAGTACCACCCAATCATTCTTACATATCTCATCTACTTTAATTCATTATTCATTCACTAGTATAATTTATTAATTTTAATTAATCATCACTTTATATAATATTTCTCGTACTCCAGCATCAAATCAGCTTTAATTATTTTAATATAAATTCAAAACCAAACCAACAGATAAACTTATTATTTTTTTCCACTTAACTATGGTTAATTAAAAAAATGTAACTTTTGAGTGAAAATTTTGTATGCAAATGTGCTCTCATCAAAATGTTGTGGAATCATCGGATGATTCTCTTATAGAGCCATTCATTTATGTATTGATAAGTGTCCAATGTGAATTTATTGTATGACACGTGTCAATACATCATTTGTGGATACCTATGGATGACTCCATAAGTTGAGCTATCCGATGACTACATAGCAAAACCGTGTGCTCTAAAAATAGGAGACTCGAAAACGAGATATGCTTTGCTCTAGGGTTTTTGCCATCTCATATAAAACCTGGTCACTCGTCCACTGGTTTCTTCCTTTTCTGCTAGACTGCTACCGTCTCAAAGCTTCTCCTGTCTCTCTGTGTTCCTATCTCTCTCTAATCAGCAATGGCCGTTGCCTTTTCAGATCTGCACACAGAAGCCGGCCTCAAGGCACTCGAGAGCTTCCTTGCTGGAAAATCTTACATCTCCGGGTTAGACGCTCATCAATCGGTTCATTCAATTGGGCTGCCCTTCGCGATTTTATTCGTCCTTTGCGTTATTTGTATTTGCTATTTGTGGTTAAAATGAATTTGCCTGGATTTCAGGAACAAACTGACGAAAGATGACGTCAAGGTGTACGCCGCTCTTTTGAAGGAGCCGAGCGCCGATCTTTACCCCAATGCCAGCAAGTGGTATGGAGCTATCTCCGCAAAGCTTGCGGCCAGGTACTTTGTTATTTGCCAAAGTCCACTGCCTTTGTTTATGATACATATAGTTTAAGGATTTATGTTTCCCTATTTTTGTGTGTGTGTGTGTGTGTGTGTGTGTTATCGAGATCTACAGTCGAGCTGACCAACTTGTTGTATAATGTCATAGCTTTCCAGGAACGGCTGTTGGAGTAAGCATTGGAGGTCAAGCTGCCGTTGCTCCTGCTAAGGAAACTAAGGTAGCTACTATAATTTGTTGTGTATGTATGGAATCCCCTTTGTATCCTTTTGTTGCTCTTAGTTGATGTCGAAGTAGAAATTGATGGAATTTGGTGAATTGGCATTTGTTTTCTTCTCACAAGCTGTAATCTTTTGGGGGTTAACTCCTCCCTAAATGGGAATTGTTGGATCAAGACTCACCTACTTGAGTATGTGTGTGAGCATGTGTGATCCAATGGCGATAAATCCGGTACACATTCATTGCATGTGGTTATGTTTTATCAAAAATATTTTTTTGTTTTCCTCTTTTCTCTCACAAAGAATGCTATTTCTTTGATTTGGGTTATTGGGTATTATGTAGTGGAGAATTTTTCTTCCCCCAAAACCCACTATTATGGCATTTTCTCTTTGATACTTGTGAAGTGTGCTGAAGTATTAGAAAAATAGGTTGATGGGTTGAGTTGATTCATAGGCGCTTCCTCAATATGAAAATGTTAATTATATAGTACAACTTTGAAGCAAAAAATTAACACTTCTGAATATCTTTTAGTTCTGTATATGGGCTGCTATTGAAATTATTAGGGAGAGCCATTGTTACTTTAGTCCCTGCTGATGGATTTTGAAGTATCCTTTTAGATTCTCTTTGCTTTAAGCATTCTAAAGTTTGATTACAATTTTAGAAAACTGTTGTAGAAATAGTATTTACTCTGAAAAATATTGTCCAGGAGTCTGCTGCTGACGATGATGATGATGACCTCGATCTATTTGGTGATGAGACCGAAGAAGAGAAGAAGGCTGCAGAAGCGAGAGAGGCTGCTGCAAAGGCATCTGCTAAAAAGAAAGAGAGTATGTGTGCCACCATCATAGTATTGATGGAAATGCCAAATCTTTTATGAAGTTGTTGAAAATGTTAATGTGTTTGAGGTGTTTTGCAATCGGAAGTCATACCTGTGCATTTTTTGCCATTATAGGTTTTTCCCATCCTAGGGCTTGTAGTCATATACTCGTTTCTTTAGTTGTTTGACTGATTTTCTCAATTCTTTTTTTCCTGCAATCATATATATCCTATTGTGGGTCTGACTGGGTGGGCTTTGTTTCCAGGTGGAAAATCCTCCGTTCTTATGGATATTAAGCCATGGGATGATGAGACTGACATGAAGAAGCTGGAAGAAGCTGTTCGCAGTGTTGAAATGCCAGGCCTCTTTTGGGGAGCATGTATCTTTTTACCTCCCTTTTACCATTTTTCTTTCGTTTTCCTTGGAGGAAGTTATGTTGGCACATGGTGGATTTAGTGCCCTAATTAAATTTCTTTTACTGGTGTTTTTCTTTTTTTTTTCTTTCTTTTTTTTTTTTTT